TCATGGTAGCCTCCAGCTAATGCAGTCCTACGTGTCTCGTGCCTACTGGGTTGTTTCTGCTAGAAACATAGCAAAACGTGTCCAACGCCAGTGTGTCGTCTGCTTTAAGTATAAAGCTCAAACATGTCAACAACTAATGGGCAACCTGCCCTCTGTGCGTCTACACCCAACCAGGGCATTTAAACATAGTGGACTAGACTATGCCGGCCCAATAAATATAAAAACATCGTCACTTAGGACAGCATCAACCACAAAGGGCTACATCTGTCTTTTTATCTGCATGTGTACCAAAGCGATACACTTGGAAGCAGTGACAAGTCTAAACGTCGATTCATTTCTAGCCGCATTCAGGCGCTTTATCTCTCGAAGAGGTTTATGCAGCGATCTTTATTCCGACTGTGGAACAAATTTCGTGGGTGCCAACAAAGAACTTCAAGTCCTATATCAACGTAATAAATCGTCGCTACCTGAGCATCTTGTAGAAACGCTCGCAAATCAAGGCACTACTTGGCACTTCATTCCCCCCGCTTCACCCCACTTCGGAGGTTTATGGGAAGCAGGAGTGAAGTCAACAAAACATCATCTGCGCCGCATAATGAGAGACCGCATACTTACCTACGAGGAACTCAGCACACTTTTGGCGCAAATTGAAAGTTGCCTGAATTCTAGGCCTTTATGCCCACTGTCAGCAGACCCCGCTGACTCCGATGCCCTCACACCGGCTCATTTTCTAATTGGTGAGGCCACCAATTGTATTCCCGAAGAAGACTTGCTTTCTGTGAACATTGACCGCTTGAGTAGATGGAAATTGGTTGAACGCCTCAAGCAAAACTTTTGGGATCGCTGGAATAGAGAATATTTGTGTCGCCTTCAATCACGTCCAAAATGGAATAAAATGGAACGAAACATCAGAGTAGGCGATATAGTTCTCCTCCTACACGAACGAAGCGTTCCGGGTCAATGGCCACTTGCAAAAGTTGAAAAACTTCACCCTGGTAATGACGACTTGGTACGAGTTGTCACACTGTATTGTAATGGCAAATACATTAAACGCCCTATCTCCAAAGTATGCCTCCTGCCATCAGATGAAGTTCTACCTAAAGAAGAGAAAATTCTAAAAACATAAGAACAGTCGTTCTTGGCGCGGGAGAATGTTTGGGATTTTTTCCCCCAAACTAAAAATACACTGCAATCCCTACATACAGTTCTTTTCCTCCTTAAGAGTTGATTGAACTCTTTTCTATTCCCTTTTTTATTATTATTTGTTTACGCGAAACCAAACCTAACGGTCCCTTATGTAGGTACAGATGATCATACGAGTATGTATGTATGTACATATGTACATAGCTACCTAACAACGGCCGTCGGTCATCTCGCTGCTGCTGCTATTGCGTTTTCGTTTTGTTTGGTCGCAGCAAAAATTTGTCAGTTGTCTTTTGTACATCTGCATGAAGCAGATAAATAATTATTAAAGAAAAAGAAAAATAAAATATTATAATAAAAAGTTTGATCATGAAGATCTCAATTTAAATAAGAAAAAATAAAGTGTTTTACTATTCTGACCATGGGGGTCAGAATACAGTAGCAACAAAAACGAAATTCTCCTACACATGGAGTTATATTAACAATGTCCGGCATATATATGTCAGCCTTCAAAAACTCCCAAAGTTATATTACATTTATCTATATCCTTTATAATCATTTAAATACACGCCGATACCGTTATTTGTACAAATACGTGGATCGATCATTGATATATTTAGTAAGACGATTGGACGACACCCAATGGGAACTAGAAGTATATTATTGCAGCCAATTTGGTTAGAAAACATGTAAAAAGTTCACAAAATATCGAATAATAGGGGTACCGCTATACGGGATTCATAAAGTGATGCCGTTTATAATATGGCATGCCCCGTTAGGCTATGGTCCTTTAATAACTGATTAAATTTGTTTTATTTTAATGTATTTATTTACACTTGCGACATTTGTTGTCGCTAAGGTTTCATTGACGCTAATGTGTTTTAAAAATACCAGGACAAAGAGAATGGATTTTTGAAAACTTCTGAGTTACAACGAGCACTACGATTACTCATAAAATAAACACAGACCATTTGTTTTCAAGAAGAAATACTCTGCCTTACACAAGGAATGAGGATTCCTAACCAAAGCAGTATTGCAAAATTAGCACCGTTCTTAGATGAAAAGAACATTCTACGAGTTGGCGGTAGATTGTCAAATGCATCTATACCCTACAACACTAAACACCCGATTTTGCTATCGAAGCAAAATCCTCTTTCTTTTCTTCTATTTTCAGAAGCACATATGAAAACATTTCATGGTAGCCTCCAGCTAATGCAGTCCTACGTGTCTCGTGCCTACTGGGTTGTTTCTGCTAGAAACATAGCAAAACGTGTCCAACGCCAGTGTGTCGTCTGCTTTAAGTATAAAGCTCAAACATGTCAACAACTAATGGGCAACCTGCCCTCTGTGCGTCTACACCCAACCAGGGCATTTAAACATAGTGGACTAGACTATGCCGGCCCAATAAATATAAAAACATCGTCACTTAGGACAGCATCAACCACAAAGGGCTACATCTGTCTTTTTATCTGCATGTGTACCAAAGCGATACACTTGGAAGCAGTGACAAGTCTAAACGTCGATTCTTTCTAGCCGCATTCAGGCGCTTTATCTCTCGAAGAGGTTTATGCAGCGATCTTTATTCCGACTGTGGAACAAATTTCGTGGGTGCCAACAAAGAACTTCAGGTCCTATATCAACGTAATAAATCGTCGCTACCTGAGCATCTTGTAGAAACGCTCGCAAATCAAGGCACTACTTGGCACTTCATTCCCCCCGCTTCACCCCACTTCGGAGGTTTATGGGAAGCAGGAGTGAAGTCAACAAAACATCATCTGCGCCGCATAATGAGAGACCGCATACTTACCTACGAGGAACTCAGCACACTTTTGGCGCAAATTGAAAGTTGCCTGAATTCTAGGCCTTTATGCCCACTGTCAGCAGACCCCGCTGACTCCGATGCCCTCACACCGGCTCATTTTCTAATTGGTGAGGCCACCAATTGTATTCCCGAAGAAGACTTGCTTTCTATGAACATTGACCGCTTGAGTAGATGGAAATTGGTTGAACGCCTCAAGCAAAACTTTTGGGATCGCTGGAATAGAGAATATTTGTGTCGCCTTCAATCACGTCCAAAATGGAATAAAATGGAACGAAACATCAGAGTAGGCGATATAGTTCTCCTCCTACACGAACGAAGCGTTCCGGGTCAATGGCCACTTGCAAAAGTTGAAAAACTTCACCCTGGTAATGACGACTTAGTACGAGTTGTCACACTGTATTGTAATGGCAAATACATTAAACGCCCTATCTCCAAAGTATGCCTCCTGCCATCAGATGAAGTTCTACCTAAAGAAGAGAAAATTCTAAAAACATAAGAACAGTCGTTCTTGGCGCGGGAGAATGTTTGGGATTTTTTCCCCCCAAACTAAAAATACACTGCAATCCCTACATACAGTTCTTTTCCTCCTTAAGAGTTGATTGAACTCTTTTCTATTCCCTTTTTTATTATTATTTGTTTACGCGAAACCAAACCTAACGGTCCCTTATGTAGGTACAGATGATCATACGAGTATGTATGTATGTACATATGTACATAGCTACCTAACAACGGCCGTCGGTCATCTCGCTGCTGCTGCTATTGCGTTTTCGTTTTGTTTGGTCGCAGCAAAAATTTGTCAGTTGTCTTTTGTACATCTGCATGAAGCAGATAAATAATTATTAAAGAAAAAGAAAAATAAAATATTATAATAAAAAGTTTGATCATGAAGATCTCAATTTAAATAAGAAAAAATAAAGTGTTTTACTATTCTGACCATGGGGGTCAGAATACAGTAGCAACAAAAACGAAATTTTTGTACAAATACGTGGATCGATCATTGATATATTTAGTAAGACGATTGGACGACACCCAATGGGAACTAGAAGTATATTATTGCAGCCAATTTGGTTAGAAAACATGTAAAAAGTTCACAAAATATCGAATAATAGGGGTACCGCTATACGGGATTCATAAAGTGATGCCGTTTATAATATGGCATGCCCCGTTAGGCTATGGTCCTTTAATAACTGATTAAATTTGTTTTATTTTAATGTATTTATTTACACTTGCGACATTTGTTGTCGCTAAGGTTTCATTGACGCTAATGTGTTTTAAAAATACCAGGACAAAAGAGAATGGATTTTTGAAAACTTCTGAGTTACAACGAGCACTACGATTACTCATAAAATAAACACAGACCATTTGTTTTCAAGAAGAAATACTCTGCCTTACACAAGGAATGAGGATTCCTAACCAAAGCAGTATTGCAAAATTAGCACCGTTCTTAGATGAAAAGAACATTCTACGAGTTGGCGGTAGATTGTCAAATGCATCTATACCCTACAACACTAAACACCCGATTTTGCTATCGAAGCAAAATCCTCTTTCTTTTCTTCTATTTTCAGAAGCACATATGAAAACATTTCATGGTAGCCTCCAGCTAATGCAGTCCTACGTGTCTCGTGCCTACTGGGTTGTTTCTGCTAGAAACATAGCAAAACGTGTCCAACGCCAGTGTGTCGTCTGCTTTAAGTATAAAGCTCAAACATGTCAACAACTAATGGGCAACCTGCCCTCTGTGCGTCTACACCCAACCAGGGCATTTAAACATAGTGGACTAGACTATGCCGGCCCAATAAATATAAAAACATCGTCACTTAGGACAGCATCAACCACAAAGGGCTACATCTGTCTTTTTATCTGCATGTGTACCAAAGCGATACACTTGGAAGCAGTGACAAGTCTAAACGTCGATTCTTTCTAGCCGCATTCAGGCGCTTTATCTCTCGAAGAGGTTTATGCAGCGATCTTTATTCCGACTGTGGAACAAATTTCGTGGGTGCCAACAAAGAACTTCAGGTCCTATATCAACGTAATAAATCGTCGCTACCTGAGCATCTTGTAGAAACGCTCGCAAATCAAGGCACTACTTGGCACTTCATTCCCCCCGCTTCACCCCACTTCGGAGGTTTATGGGAAGCAGGAGTGAAGTCAACAAAACATCATCTGCGCCGCATAATGAGAGACCGCATACTTACCTACGAGGAACTCAGCACACTTTTGGCGCAAATTGAAAGTTGCCTGAATTCTAGGCCTTTATGCCCACTGTCAGCAGACCCCGCTGACTCCGATGCCCTCACACCGGCTCATTTTCTAATTGGTGAGGCCACCAATTGTATTCCCGAAGAAGACTTGCTTTCTATGAACATTGACCGCTTGAGTAGATGGAAATTGGTTGAACGCCTCAAGCAAAACTTTTGGGATCGCTGGAATAGAGAATATTTGTGTCGCCTTCAATCACGTCCAAAATGGAATAAAATGGAACGAAACATCAGAGTAGGCGATATAGTTCTCCTCCTACACGAACGAAGCGTTCCGGGTCAATGGCCACTTGCAAAAGTTGAAAAACTTCACCCTGGTAATGACGACTTAGTACGAGTTGTCACACTGTATTGTAATGGCAAATACATTAAACGCCCTATCTCCAAAGTATGCCTCCTGCCATCAGATGAAGTTCTACCTAAAGAAGAGAAAATTCTAAAAACATAAGAACAGTCGTTCTTGGCGCGGGAGAATGTTTGGGATTTTTTCCCCCAAACTAAAAATACACTGCAATCCCTACATACAGTTCTTTTCCTCCTTAAGAGTTGATTGAACTCTTTTCTATTCCCTTTTTTATTATTATTTGTTTACGCGAAACCAAACCTAACGGTCCCTTATGTAGGTACAGATGATCATACGAGTATGTATGTATGTACATATGTACATAGCTACCTAACAACGGCCGTCGGTCATCTCGCTGCTGCTGCTATTGCGTTTTCGTTTTGTTTGGTCGCAGCAAAAATTTGTCAGTTGTCTTTTGTACATCTGCATGAAGCAGATAAATAATTATTAAAGAAAAAGAAAAATAAAATATTATAATAAAAAGTTTGATCATGAAGATCTCAATTTAAATAAGAAAAAATAAAGTGTTTTACTATTCTGACCATGGGGGTCAAAATACAGTAGCAACAAAAACGAAATTCTCCTACACATGGAGTTATATTAACAATGTCCGGCATATATATGTCAGCCTTCAAAAACTCCCAAAGTTATATTACATTTATCTATATCCTTTATAATCATTTAAATACACGCCGATACCGTTATTTGTACAAATACGTGGATCGATCATTGATATATTTAGTAAGACGATTGGACGACACCCAATGGGAACTAGAAGTATATTATTGCAGCCAATTTGGTTAGAAAACATGTAAAAAGTTCACAAAATATCGAATAATAGGGGTACCGCTATACGGGATTCATAAAGTGATGCCGTTTATAATATGGCATGCCCCGTTAGGCTATGGTCCTTTAATAACTGATTAAATTTGTTTTATTTTAATGTATTTATTTACACTTGCGACATTTGTTGTCGCTAAGGTTTCATTGACGCTAATGTGTTTTAAAAATACCAGGACAAAAGAGAATGGATTTTTGAAAACTTCTGAGTTACAACGAGCACTACGATTACTCATAAAATAAACACAGACCATTTGTTTTCAAGAAGAAATACTCTGCCTTACACAAGGAATGAGGATTCCTAACCAAAGCAGTATTGCAAAATTAGCACCGTTCTTAGATGAAAAGAACATTCTACGAGTTGGCGGTAGATTGTCAAATGCATCTATACCCTACAACACTAAACACCCGATTTTGCTATCGAAGCAAAATCCTCTTTCTTTTCTTCTATTTTCAGAAGCACATATGAAAACATTTCATGGTAGCCTCCAGCTAATGCAGTCCTACGTGTCTCGTGCCTACTGGGTTGTTTCTGCTAGAAACATAACAAAACGTGTCCAACGCCAGTGTGTCGTCTGCTTTAAGTATAAAGCTCAAACATGTCAACAACTAATGGGCAACCTGCCCTCTGTGCGTCTACACCCAACCAGGGCATTTAAACATAGTGGACTAGACTATGCCGGCCCAATAAATATAAAAACATCGTCACTTAGGACAGCATCAACCACAAAGGGCTACATCTGTCTTTTTATCTGCATGTGTACCAAAGCGATACACTTGGAAGCAGTGACAAGTCTAAACGTCGATTCTTTCTAGCCGCATTCAGGCGCTTTATCTCTCGAAGAGGTTTATGCAGCGATCTTTATTCCGACTGTGGAACAAATTTCGTGGGTGCCAACAAAGAACTTCAGGTCCTATATCAACGTAATAAATCGTCGCTACCTGAGCATCTTGTAGAAACGCTCGCAAATCAAGGCACTACTTGGCACTTCATTCCCCCAGCTTCACCCCACTTCGGAGGTTTATGGGAAGCAGGAGTGAAGTCAACAAAACATCATCTGCGCCGCATAATGAGAGACCGCATACTTACCTACGAGGAACTCAGCACACTTTTGGCGCAAATTGAAAGTTGCCTGAATTCTAGGCCTTTATGCCCACTGTCAGCAGACACCGCTGACTCCGATGCCCTCACACCGGCTCATTTTCTAATTGGTGAGGCCACCAATTGTATTCCCGAAGAAGACTTGCTTTCTGTGAACATTGACCGCTTGAGTAGATGGAAATTGGTTGAACGCCTCAAGCAAAACTTTTGGGATCGCTGGAATAGAGAATATTTGTGTCGCCTTCAATCACGTCCAAAATGGAATAAAATGGAACGAAACATCAGAGTAGGCGATATAGTTCTCCTCCTACACGAACGAAGCGTTCCGGGTCAATGGCCACTTGCAAAAGTTGAAAAACTTCACCCTGGTAATGACGACTTGGTACGAGTTGTCACACTGTATTGTAATGGCAAATACATTAAACGCCCTATCTCCAAAGTATGCCTCCTGCCATCAGATGAAGTTCTACCTAAAGAAGAGAAAATTCTAACAACATAAGAACAGTCGTTCTTGGCCCGGGAGAATGTTTGGGATTTTTTCCCCCAAACTAAAAATACACTGCAATCCCTACATACAGTTCTTTTCCTCCTTAAGAGTTGATTGAACTCTTTTCTATTCCCTTTTTTATTATTATTTGTTTACGCGAAACCAAACCTAACGGTCCCTTATGTAGGTACAGATGATCATACGAGTATGTATGTATGTACATATGTACATAGCTACCTAACAACGGCCGTCGGTCATCTCGCTGCTGCTGCTATTGCGTTTTCGTTTTGTTTGGTCGCAGCAAAAAATTAGTCAGTTGTCTTTTGTACATCTGCATGAAGCAGATCAATAATTATTAAAGAAAAATAAAATATTTTAATAAAAAGTTTGATCATGAAGATCTCAATTTAAATAAGAAAAAATAAAGTGTTTTACTATTCTGACCATGGGGGTCAGAATACAGTAGCAACAAAATCGAAATTCTCCTACAATAACATTAAATGATTAAAGAAGAAAATATTGGGTTGTGGTCTTAACTTAAATGTTGCTGGATATATGTATCTTACTATGCTAAGCGTGTAATTTGCTAGCGTGTTGCAGGTGATAAGTTGCCAGACATTTCGCAACATTGTTGCTGATCGAGCACCCAATGTATATTATAACTGAACTTCTCTCAACATCAACTACCTTCAAAACAGCCAACCTCATCGAAAGATCTTTCGGCGTGGGAGTAAGCAAACAAAAAAAAAAAAGAGTAAGTGATAAACTATTACATTCTCTTAATTTATAATATTGATTGTATGGTTTTTTATGTGAGAGACATTGTTTTTTTTATTTGTTGGTTGTTCTCGATCATCTTATTTTTATTTGTATCTGTTGCTGGCATTTTTACATTAAGGTGGTTTACATTATTTTGAATTTTATAACAAATGTAACCACAGCGAAGTATAAATATATTTAGTTTTTTTTTTTTAAATTATTTTTTTTAATATTGTTAAATATAAATGATCTATTAGAAATGAGGATGCATTTAGATTTAATGAGCATAGATTTATTTTTCCTTTTTAAACAATTACTTCTGATATATATTTAAACACATTTAAATGAAATATAGTGTTATATTTTTAAGAAAATTTGGATTCCATATGAATAAACTTATTATGTCTCGCTTTGAGTAAGCCTTTGGTTTGATCCCATGGTGAAATAAGGTAGAAAGGTTGCTGTTAAGATGGGAATCACTATTTAAAGTTTTTACTAGGAAGGTAATATTGGTGATTAGGAAGGGAGGGTAACCAGGACGCAAAACCACCTAATTGTCCTGCTAAACAGTCATAGAAGTAAGTTTCCATTCTTTATATATCTTTTATCTTTTTTTTAAGAACACGTAAATTAAAAGTAATCTGGTGTAGCTAAAAAGAAGGCCTGTAGTTATGAACTCACCCCATTGCCACGAGCAATAAGGCCGGTCACTCACGTGCTCCTACTACTCCTTAGTGCCTTTAGTACCATATTTATAAATCATTTTACGTTATATGCTACAATGCATATACCTTGGTCCCCCAGTAAATGATGATGGAAGAATTATTAACTGACCCAAATCTGACAAATTTGTATCTTCTCTTCTTAAAGCGTCTCACAAAGTTATATAACTTCCTGAAGAATTGTTCCTCTTGTCCTACAAAATATATTTGAAGAAATTGACCTTGAACCTTGAATGTTCCCGGTTCTTTAACTTGCTTTGCTGCAAAGGAGGTCATCTGAAAACAGCCATTGTAGTGCCGTATAAATTTCCATAAATATTTATGATCCTGGTGATTTCCCACTAAAAGTGACATTACATATTCGAGTAAGAGGCGAAAAGCTGGGAGTTTTACTTTCCCTGAAAAACAGCACATTCCTGGAGACACCTGTTTCCATTTTAAAGCATTGCAGAAACGGCATATATGGTCCATTGTGCCTATATTTAAAATTTGTGTTTGGGTCGTATTTGAGCCCAGACTTTTCCTTTATAGTCCATGCCTGTAGTTGTTTTTGTCGGTATTGTGACTGAGCCAATGCATGACTCTCTGGGTTATTGTTAAAATAATTCGCTACATTTATTCTGTTCACTTCAGGATGTGTCTTCTGATATATTACCTTGTTCTTTCTGTGCACTTCTGGATGCTTTCTTTGATATGCAGCTTTTTCCTTTCTGTGCCCTTCAGGATGCTTTCTTTGATATGCAGCCTTTTCCTTTCTGTGCACTTCAGGATGTTTCATTTGATATACAGATTCTTCCTTTCTGTGCACTTCAGGATGCTTTCTTTGATATGCAGCCTTTTCCTTTCTGTGCACTTCGAAGTGTCCTGAAGAAAGATGACCTGTGAACCGCAATTTCTTTTTTGTATGGGCTGGGTCACCCTGGCTTGTTAAATGCCACCCGTCACAATAAACTTCGAAACAGTATTGATAAATTTCAGACGCAGCGCGTATTTCACAAATACTTCCGAATGTATGACTAAGACTCATTTGCTGATGATATATATCTGCATTTGGATAGGTATCCCCATTTTCATTATGGGTAAAGTTTGAGTAGTCTTTCCAGTTTTGCACCATATAATCTACTATATCAGCTCGAACGTCTGCAGCAAAAATGTGTGTTCCATAAACGTGGTAAGATATGGACCCAAAAAGACATAATCCATCTTTTGCTATTGCAACAACGGTGTGTGGGATTTGTATCCCATCCACATTCAATAATTCTAGCTCCATCTTCATTACATAATTTATTGTCACAAAGAAATATATATAAACCAGTAAGGAAAGTAGTAAGTCGGACTGGTCCGACTATATGATACCCTTCACCACTTTGGTGATATTCTACATATATATGTATCTTTATGTATGTCGTCTTTTCGATGGAACATTTACATGAAATTGAACGAACATAAAAATGCGATCTTTATTCAGTACCCCAATTCAGTACCCTATGCCAAA